TCAGCTCTTCTACCGGCGTTATCGTCGCGATACGCCTTTTGCTTTGTTGATTCTTCTCAAAAATGGCAGCTTTGTCTAAAAAACGAAACTTGTCGGTGTGGCGGAGGAACCTGTTGGAATTTTGAATCTCGTAGAGTTGGTCGGCGGTGGAGGGAAGAGAAAGGTGTCTGTTGGCGACGGCGGCGGCGAAGGTATGAAACAGGGGAGTGAGGGGGCTGCCTTGGGGGATTCGGAAACGATAGAAGGGACGGCCAAGAAGGAAGATGAGGAGGTTGAGCAGCATGATAAAGGTGAGGATGATGGTAGCGAGGCCGTATCCGAGCGTGTCTTCGAGGTAGACAATTACGGTGACGCCGAGGAGTAGGCCGGAACAAAGGCCGAGGTTCCACCAGTTGAAAAATGAAAGTTTTAAGCGGCGTTCGGTGGGATGGTCGTCGTCAAATTGGTCGGCACCGAAGCTCTCCAGGCTTGGTTTGTGGCCGCCGGTGCCGATGGAGATTAAGTACATGGCAGTGAAGAAGATCGTAGTGTGTAGTTTCAGGGAGGTGTTGGGCTTTAGGCCTGGGACGAGTTGGGACATGGTTAGGAGCGAGAGACCCTGCGGCAATAGCCATGACAATAGTTTCCACAAAGTATTAATTGAAAATTTTTATGAATGTCACATTAATGTAAACATTTAACTTAAAAGATTTAATATTTATATTTATAATATTTTAATGGCATAAATTTATATAGTTTCATTAACTCATCATTTAATTTTATCGTATAGTATGCGAGTCGCTTTTTAAGTTTTAAGGTAAATTTTAATAAATTTTTAGTCAAGTATAATAAATTTTTTATAAGATAATCCTAAAAACATATATAACTATTTCTTAAAATAGCACAAATCCTGTAAGTCATTAAAGTCTAATTGTGAATGCTACTTTAGTTAAATTTCTAGCCAGCAACTGTGTTGAACTTTAATCTATAGTACTTACACGTAGCAAATATTTTAGAACTTTACATTACATTTTGTTATAACCGTGTGTCAAACGAAAATATTAGACTTAAGCTTTTTCCCTTTTTTTTGAAAGATAAAGCTAAAATATAGTTAAACTCATGAGCATCTAGATCAATAGGACGAGGTGACAGCCCAAAAAATCCTACTAAGTATTTCCCATCTTAAAAAATTGCTAAATCTAGAAATAGTATTACTTCGTATTCTCTAATGAAAAAAATATTGTGTCCGGAACTTTTTAAAAGATAAAGCTAAAATATAGTTAAACTCGTGAGCATCTAGATCAATTAGGACGAGGTGACTTAGCCCAAAAAATCCTACTAAGTATTTCCCATCTTCAAAAATTGCTAAATCTAAAAATAGTATTACTTCGTATTCTCTAATGAAAAAAATATTGTGTCCGGAACTTGGATACAAGCAGTGTTCGGACAATGGACGCGATTCATCAGAAAAGCGGAAGAGAAAAAAAAAAACTCTTGCGGTAATATTTTCTCGTAGTGATGAATCTAGTGGAAATAATTTGAAGGAGAATTTTTCAAATATAGAGTTATTTTTCTATAAAATATTTTAGTTGAATTTTACGATATTCTTCATATTGGAGAAAAAAACAAAGAAAATCATCAAATTTAAATAAATTATTTTTTCCCAAAAAAAAAAAAAAAAGGCATGGTACTTTTAAATCAGGTTTGAATCCAAACGTCTTATATCCTATGTCCTAAAACAACAAAACAACTAAAAATTAGTAGAAAAAAAGCTTGGTAGATTGAGAGATTAAAAAAAAAAAACAATAAAACTACCTTTAAAATTTCACAATTAAGTGTCAATTAAACTATTTTAAAACTAATAAACGAATAAATATAAACCTAAAAAAATTTAAATGCACGAATTCCCCCTCAAAAAAAATGTTGAATCCTTCCTCAAAACAATGACCAGTTTGCAGAAGTGCTGCATACCAGAACATAGACGAGAGATGAAAAGAGAACAGTGGCGAAGCGACCGAGATAGGCATCCGCTACAAATCCTCCTACGGGAGCCAGAAGCGTCGTAACCCCCAGCCAGCAGTTCGCGCTCTTAGCCGCATCCTTCACCTCATAGCGCAAGAACTTGGTTAAGTATATTATCAAGTTGACCGACAATCCGAAGTAGCTAAGCCTCTCACTGAACTCAATCGCTGCAGCCACACGCCAAACCATATTATTAATTAATATCTCCTTCTATCTATACACTTCACAGAAAAATCAGTTATTTATAGACCTATTATGAAAAGAGAAGCCTTCCATACACCAGTAGAGGATCTAATAGGAGTTCTCCCCTTATAATCGATGGAAGAATCGTGGACCCATTGGTCCTCATCGCCTCTTCCCTTCTCCATTTAGTGCAGAGCAGTGCAGAGTGGAGGAACAAAAGAGAAAAAAAAAAGGAGTCTTTGAGTTGAGAGCTAGTGTGGTCTGAGAGGCTGAGGACATCCATGGCTGCTTTATAATACTCCTAAAAGAAGGCGTGACAAATTATCTTGCACTATGTTAGTGCATGGATTTATTTCTCCATCGTTTCCTCTAAAGAAAAAAGTAAACGAAAAAACAAAATCAACTTTTTTCGCTACTTTAAAACGTTTTTACAGAGAGATGTAATTGTTCCAGAGCTCTTTCTTGAAGATAACGTGAAGCCAGTTCTTTAAGGAAAAAAAAAAGGATTGGCATTCTGTGTTTTTAGCGGGCGATTCTTTTCAGAGAGAAAGACGATCGTGCTTCCCCATATAAGCATCCATGAGGGGAAAATAGCGTTGGACCACATCGTACAATTTATGCCTTCTGAATTCTGAGCCGATAGAGAAAGAGAATAAAGGCTCAGCTTCACAGGTTTGAAGATTTGTTTTGAGTTGACACAGTGTTAATAGTCAGGAAATGTGATTGAAGAGAAATATTATTGTAATTTCTTTTTGAAGGAGAAATTTTTTCATGAATGTGTATAAAAGAATAAATTGTGCAATTTTGATTGATGCTATATATTTAGGGGCTGAATTAGAGTGGCTAAGAAGACACTCCCGCCTTCTAGATGTTTATGAAACAAATTATTTTTTCTAGTTTCTCAGTTTAGGTTTTTTGGTTTGTTTTTTTTTTTTCCCTTTTTTGATTTAATATGGTTCTTGGTTTTTCTTTCTTAGTGTTTTTGGTTATGGAAGGAACTTAAGAAGCATGTTGTTTCTTGTTTACCTTTCTGATTTCTTTTGTCTTTGTTTTTTTACTTGTGAACTTTCCTTTTTGTTTGACTACTATGGAGGATAATCCAAACCGGTCTACCTTCTTAGAGGCGGTTTTGGGAAAGATTGCTTATTTCCTATGAAATTCAAAGGTTTGTTGGCTGATGGTAATATAAGTGGTCTGCTTAAAAAAAACCACAAGAAAGAATATCAAACTTGCTTTAATATATTTTGAAGAGGAGACTCTGGCTCTTGCTGCTTCTTTGAAATTCATCTTAAAAGATAAATTTACGTTTGCTCATCTAAAGTTGGAGATCATTAAGAATTTTTTTGCAAATCTTAAATTTGTGGGAAATCAGAATGTTGGGCTGATCGATGGGAGAAATCTCATGATTCGGCTAGAAAAGGAAGAGGATTATACCTTATTTTTTGCAAGAAAATTGTTGCAAATAAACAAGTTACATATGAAGATTCTTAATTGGTCTATTGATTACGACCTAAAAGAAGAGCCACCAATAGTTCCAATTTTGTTAAAGTTTACAAGTTTGAGATTACACTTATTTAATAAGCATGTTCTTTATTCTTTGGGATCAATTTATGGAACACCAATGAAGATTGATGTTGCCACCTTAAATTGCTCAAGGCATTTTGTGGCTAGAGTTTTGATTGAAAGAGATGTAACACTCCCTTTCTGTGACCCTGTTTGGATTGATGACTCAAATTTTGGATACTAACAAAGCGTGAAAATGGAATACGTTCCACCATGTGGTAGTAAATGTCAGATGTTTGGGCATTGCGAATCCAATTGTTTTGTGGCCAATCCGAGACTAAAAAAAATATTTGTAGAAGAAGAAAATGGTTATCAAATGATGTTCCATCTAACCATTGTCCTATTCTACAAAATAATGATTTGAATAATATATAGACTAATGTGATAACTAATTGTGTTCATTAAAGAGAAAAGGAGACGACTAGTGTTATTGATTTTAATAAACCAAGCATCATCTTGGATACCATTAATGAACTTATTGATAGGGCACTATCTTGGATAACCAAGATAATGATATTTGCAATCAAATGGTTTCTCAAGATAGGGAAGTTTCTTGTAGCAACAGGGATGGAAATTTGGTTCTTCATAATGATGAGTTGACCAACAATATTAGAAATGATATTGGAATACCTCATATTAACAACTTAGAGGTTAACATTAATGATCCTATTGTTAAAAATTCTAATTTGGTTACCAATGCTATTTATTTTGTGGTTGAATGCTTGGTAACTAAATTAGAATCAGAAGAAGATTGTATAATTCGAAAGGCTGCTAGAAAAAGGAAAAATAAAGGAAATAGGGAATTCAGTTATGTTAACCAAAAGGTTGTTATTCAAATCCAAGTTGGAGAAGATGTGGAAAAAGAAAACTCAACATCTTCCTCTATGATCACTAAAGGATTGAAAGATTTTATTGATGAAGTTTAATTTTCTCATTTGGAATATTAGGGGCATTATTAAGCTAAACGCCTTTGAAAGACTAAAAAATTTGATTCATTCTTATAAACTTAATTTTCTTAGTATTCTTGAGCCTTTTATGACTTTAAAAAATAATGACAAATATCTTCCAAGAATTGAAAATTTCAACATCTTTTATAACACTAACAACAAAATTAGGGTTTTATGGAAAGATTGTTTAAGATTGACATTCTTGTCAATCACGAGTAGTTAATTCATTATTTTGTACATATTCGTGTACATATTAATAATGATAATTTTCTATAATTTATCATCTATGCTGGGTGTACAAGGCTTAAAAGGTTGAATTTATGGAATACTTTGCTTACTTTCTATATTGTTTGTGAACCGTGGTTAGTTGGTGGAGATTTTAATCTCTTACTTCTCTTAGTGAGAAAAAAGGAGGTAATTCACCTAATTTGAATCCTATTTTTGAATTCAATAGTGTTCTTTTTTATCCTAACCTTTTTTGCTTTGGTTTAAAGGCAACCCCTTTACTTGGTGTAGAGGTCATGTTTTTGAAAGATTAAATAGATTCCTTTCTAACGAGAAATGGAATGATAAGTTCTATTTACATGAAATTAACCACCTTGCTATTCTGCTTCTGATCATACTTCTCTTCTGTTGAAGGTTAAAGAGAATAATATTGATATCAATTATCGTATTAGATTTCTTAATAAGTAGACTTTGTATAATTCTTATTTAAAATTTATCAAAAGGGAACTGGTACTGTAATGAGAAAGGTAATTCTAGGCTTAATCTTTGGTTTTTACAAAAAAAATTGGCTTTGAAGCTTAAGCATTGGAATTGGAAAGTGTCTGGTAACATTCACAAGAAAGTTGTTTAGGCTGAAAAGAATGTTAAGAACCTGAAGCTGAATTTCTGTAACAATAACTTATGTTGGGATGTTTTATTACATGAGCAACAAGATTTAAATAATGCTATTACTATGGAAGAAAATCATTATGCTCAGAAAGCTGCAAAGATGAATTTCTTGGATGGTAATGGAAATACTACTTTCTACCATGCCTGAATTAAGAATAGAAGGAAAAATATATTAATTAATAAAATCATTACTTCAGATGGGAAAATTCTGTCCACTTCTCGGGAAATTGATAAGGATGGTATAAATCTTTTCACTGCTCTGTTTAATGGTGATGGTAATATCCTTACTAAGATTAATATTGATAATTATGATAACAATGCTGAGATTAATTGCAAGGATCTTACATTCCTTCTAAACTGGAACTAAAAAACATCCTTTATAGTATGGAGGATGGTAAAGTGGCAAGCCGGATGGTTACACAGTTGAGCACTATAAGAAAACTTGGGATATTATTCATTATGAGCTGGTAAACGCTATTTAGGATTTCTTCAAAGGTGTTGATTTGCCTAAGTATTTTAAAACTTCTAATATCGTTTTAATTACTAAATAAAAGAATGCTACTACTTGGGATAAATTTAGATCTATTAGTCTTGATACTGTAGTGTCTAAAATTATCTAAAAAATCATAAATTAAAAGGATCAACCTTTGCTTCATAATCTTATAAGTTTGAATCCGACTGCTTTTATTAAAGGAAAAAATATATGTAATAATGATTTAATTGTTTAAGAATTACTTTTAGATCTGGATAAAAAAGGTAATAGTGGGAATGTTATTTGTAAAATGGACAATAAAAAAGCGATTGATACTATCTGTTGGGAGCTTATCTTACATGTTCGTCATGCTATGGGGTTTCAAAATATTTTTTGCAGTATTATTGGTAGGTTTCTTAATAATAACTTTTATTCTATTTTGATTAATGATACAGCTTGTGGGTTTTTAAGGCTAATAGAGGTATTAAACAGGGTAATCCATTTTCACTTTATCTTTTCATTATTGCCTTTGACTATTTATCAAAATGTCTCAATAATTTGTTTATTAAATATCCTAGCATGTACCACCTTCAAAAAGGCATGGTCCATCGAAAGGGTTCGGAATGAGATTTCCTTGTTCCAAGATATTTCATATATGAATTTAAATACTTCTAAATATAATGTTTATTGTTCCAAAAATGTTTCTATTATTAATAAAAGTTGGATGGTTGACTTTACTAACTACCACAAAGATAGTCTTCCTTTAATTTATTTAAGTATCACTTTAAATACAAATAGTAAGAGAAGTACATTCTTTTCTATTTTTTTTGATAAAATAAAGAATAGAACCCTCACTCAGGAGAATAAATTTCTCTCATTTTGAGGTAGAATTACAATTCTTAAGAGCATTCTTAGTTCTTTACCTCTTTATGTTATGAAAATCATGAATATGCCATTGAACTTTGTTAATAAATTGTAAATTCTTTTTAATAAATTCCTTTGGGACAATAATGGTAAGCATAACATTCACAGGAAAAGTTGGAATACAATTTGTAAGCCTTTTGATAAGGGTGGTCTTGACTTTATGAAGTTATCTCATACCATTCTTATTACTCATATGAAGTTACGATTTAGATTTAGGAAAACCAATTCTATGTGGTCTTATCTCTTAAGGGATAAATATTGTAATGATGAGCACCCTCTTACGGTTAGTCCTTCTAATCTGATTCTTATAATTGGAAAAGTATGCTAAAAGTTTCTAAAGCAACTGAATTTCTTATCAATTGGGACATTGGCAATGGAGATATCTCTTTCTGCTACAATGATTGGTTAGGAAATAAAAAAATCTGTGGATTGCTATGC